AGAGGAGCTCTCCAGCTACACCTGGGAAACAAAGACAGGTATCTGCAGCTCACTGGCTGGCCAGAAAAGCTCAACTGCTGAGTTTAAAGTCCCAGGGAATGGCTTTGTCTCAAAAAACAAGATGGATAGACCTTAAAAAAACAATGATGCCTGAATATTGACCTCTAGATTCTGTATGTACACATGTGCACCCTGTCACACACAAATATGCACATGCTGCGGGGACACACATGAGACACATTTCTAAAGAAAATATGACTAAAACAAGATCACAACACTAATTATAAGTTCCTAAAGCTGTATAATAAGAATGTTCATATCAAAGCTTGTGGGATCTAGCTAAAACATGGCAACAGAGCCTTAAAACTTTAAAAGCTTAGGAAGAAAATTCAATTGATGTGCTAAGTACCTAAATTTCAGGCTTTAAAATACATAAAAAAACTAATGAGGTAAAAAAAAGTGTGTGTGTGTGTGTGTGTGTGTGTGTGTGTGTGTGTGGTGTGGTGTGTGTGAGAGAGTATGTGTGTAAGAGCCAATAAAGTACACCAAATTCTGGCAAAACAAAGTGGAAATAAAAAAAAGATACACATATTACTAAAGAAAATGTCATATCAATAGAAAATAGATTTAAAGCAATAATGATTTTATTTTATTAATATTGAATACATATATACAGTTTATCAAAATTGGCTTAATAAGAAAACCTAAATAGTCCTATAATTGTATTTTAAATAATGAAATCATTTCTTTCTAATTAACTTACAAATAAAAACACACAGCTAGTTTAAAAAGGGCATTCTCAGCTGGGCAGTGATGACGCATGCCCTTAAACTCAGCACTCGGATGGCAGAAGCAAGCAAGATCTCAGTGAGTTTGAGGCCAGGCCAGCCTGGTCTACAAAGCAAGTTCTACAAAAGTTAGGACTGTTACACAGAGAACACTGTCTCCAAAAACAAAAACAAAAAAACAAACAAAAAAGGCATTCCCTATAATTATTAAAGTAACTAAAACAACAAGCCTAAAATCCCCTGAACTCCAAACCTAGAAGGCTTTACTAATTAATGATTAAATAATTGCAATATTGTGCAGATTTTTCATGATAGGGAAAGAAAGAACACTACCCATACTATTTTGAGATGATACTAACAGCAGTTCAGGACAGTACAGAAACACATAACTGTAGACCAATGTTTAACTTACACAAATGTAAATAATGCTTGTCTTTGTATGTTATGTATAAATGCCATAATATACACTAGAGGGGGCTTATTCTTGAGGTATCAGATAGCTTACTAGTAGAAGTTAAATACTATGTCTTGCCACATAAACATATTTAAAGAAAAATAATTAAACTTTTTTTAAAAGATTTATTTTATTTTGTATTACGTGTAAGTGTGTGGGTATACGCATGTGAGTGCAGGATCCCATACAGTCAAAAGGTGTTGGCTCCTTCTGGAGCTGGAGTTACAGGGAACAGTGAGCTACTCCAATCCTCCACAAGAGAAGTACATACCCTTAACCACTGAGCCAACTCCCAGCCCCATGAATTACATGACGCTTTTAATAGCCACAGAAACAATTGATGAAACATTCACTTATGATACACATACTCACCAAACGAAGAATTTGCTGGATAGCTATGTGAAAGCTAATTTTAAAGTTTACATAGTAAAACCTTCCTATGTGGCATACTGTACTGATGGTCCTCGCCAAAGTAGGAAAACAAGAAATTAAAGATAGTAGATATACAGATAAGGAGAGAAACAAAATTGTCATGATTTTTAGATGATATTATTGTCCATGTGGTAAATTTGAAAGCAGTTACAGATAAATAAAATGTCTAATGAATCCCATAAAATTTGATTGACAAGTAATTAATATATAAAAACAAGTATATTAATGAGAGTGGGGAACTTAAAATAAATTTATACACATATGGAAAAATTGATTCATGTATACTATTGAAATAAACAATAAAGTAATCAATTTTCATGTGGATTAAGCCTGACTGCCAAATACAAAACCATTGGCAGCCTTAGAAACTACTGGAAGACAACACAGTAAGTTAATTTATAATTTCAAGGACACAACTGTGTCCTGTGTGTGCCTTTGTGTATGTGGTATGCATGTGTGTGTATATGTTTGCATGTGTATAGATGCACTAGGGTATAGGTTTACATGTACATATGTATAGCTCCTTGTGGAGGCCAGAGGTTGATGTCAGGTGATAATAGGTGCTTGTGAGCTGTCTGTGAATGCTGGGAATTGAACTCCAATCTTCAACAAGAGGAGTACACACCCTTAATGGCGGAACCATCTCTCAGCCCCATGAATTACAAGATACTTTCAATAGCTACAGAGACAATTGATGACATTGTTTTCACTTTATTTACTGAAGCAGGGTCTCTTCCTGGACCTGACATTGAGAATTTGATATTCTAGTAGGTAATCTTGCCTTGGAGGGGTCCCCTGTTCTCTCTACACTGGGATAACAGGTGGGCTACCACACTAGCCCAACTTTTACGTGGGAGTGTGGTACCCAGCCCTGATCCTCATACTTGCACAGCTTTATCCACTGAACTACTGAACTACCTCTCCAGCCCCTCGAAGATACAATTCTTAAACAAGACACACGATAAGAGAAAGTACTAGAGACTTTAAATTTCTCACTGAGAGATGTGGAGAGATAAAGAGAAAGAAAATGTCAGAAGCAATCTGGAAGCAGGTATTTGCAGCACATACCATAAATTAAATATTGACTAAGACATGGATTGTATAAAGAAAAGACTCCGATGTCAATTAGATACAGTAAAACAACTCACTAGAAGAATACATACAAACCGGGTTATCAGAAATGCAGACAGAAAGCTTAACTCTTAGGCAGCATATATAAAAGCAGACTGCCTTGTTAGCTATGTGGATGCTAAGTAAAATCCTAGAGTATGACTACTTGCTACTTGCCAGGCTGACTAAAAATGGACTTTGTTATGACAGCTCTGTGGAGCATCAAGATCTTTGATCCTTTGTTAGAGGAAGTGCCAGCTAGTTTAGCATTCGAGGAAGAGCTTGGAAATAACCCAATAAAGTTGGATATATACAAATCTTATGACCTACTCATTCCACTCTAGGATGTGAGCTCTAAACATGTGCACACATAGTCATGGATGCTAGAAGGCATTATCTAGTTGCTGTTGTTGGCAGTCTTGAGAATGTTCACCTGAAGGCATCCATGCCCTTGTAAGATCTACCCCCTTGGGTGTGTGGGGGTGTGGTGGGCAATCACTTCTAAGGAACAGAAAAATGATAAAAAAAAAAAAATGAGATGTCACTTTTGAGATTAGGAAAGAAAAAAAATCTGGCTCTTGCCTTTCTGTTGGCAAGCCCTTACTCTGTGGTGGGGGTGAGGGGAGCAAGATGCTATGTGGTAGCAAACCTCTATAAAGAGGCCCATACTGTAAAGGAAGATATGCCTAGCCGAAGTCAGGAAGGTCCCAAGTCTCCAACAATCCCGAGTCAGCTCCTGTGAGTCTGGAGGTGACTTCAGCCTGAGCCGATAGCTTTTTACTATAGCCTGTGAGAACCTCCAGAGACTCCATTTAAGCCACTAGGGAATACTAGGTCCGCAGAAACTGGGAGATGGCAAGGAAATATTGGAGGTGGTTTTGTTGTTGTTTATTACTGACTTTATAGTGCTTACTGTTGGGATAGTTTGTCAAATAAACAACAAATGCATCTCCCAAGCTAGAATCCCAGATGTCCAGCAGTAGAATTCAGGAAATTAAATGGTAAGAAATAAAAAAGAAAGAAGCATAAACAAGGGTGAATCTCAGAAATGTAAGAATGTAGAGGATAATATTCATGATATGAAAGTAAGACAGAAACATAAAAAGCAATGCATGTATGTTTTACACACAAACATTAAACTATGCAAAACACCAAGGAAGACGTTCAAAAGGAAAATCACGCAGGATGCCATGTCTCAGGGAGGGAGGGGCAGGGACGAGCCCCTCCAATGTGGTATCCAAGGTCCCACTGTACCTTATTTTTACCCACAAGATGGTCAGGCTCTTTGGGATGTTATATATTCTTTTTATTCTTAAATTTATAAGCAAAGCAAAACAGAAAGTGAAGAGCTGAAATGCAATCAGTTCACAAATCCTTTGGAGAATAAACAGACGGTTGGCTAGTCAGCGCGTAGACGGGGACATTCTATTCTTCACATACATTTAAGGGGTTTTTCCTCCACATTTCCACGATTGTCTAAATTGGCAAGATCCTTTTTTTTCTCCCATTGTGTCCTTTGGGGCTTCCTGCTCCGCAGGTTGGGCCAACCCGGAAGGCCAGCTGGGGGACTATTTATCCCCCAACTGGATAATCCAGCGCTTGCTGTTGCAGGCCAAAGGCATTCTAGACCCGCATTCTCTGGAATGCCCACACCTATTCTCAGCAGCACCCTGCCCACATCCTCCCACCCACCTCTTAGCGCAAATTCACTCCAGGCTCCCTCCTGAGTGCTTAAAGCACAGGTAGAGGACTTTTACCTGGGAGCAGGGGCAGGAGGCTAAGCAGAGACCATGACCCTTAAAGAATTCTGCGTGGAGCCCCCCTCCGGTGTGTGTGATAACATCACCTTTAAGGTTCCTTTGATCAAATCCGGATGGCTCCCTGCTGCACACAAACCACGCAAGAAGGAAATGAGGCGGGGGAGGGGAGTGGGGTGGAGGGGGGGATGTCCTGGCTGGCGAAGGGATAACAATAAGGGGATACGCTGAAGGAGATAGGCTGCACCGGAAAGCTCAGAAACTGACAGAGAGGAAAATCACCACGGTGGAATACCTCAGCCACGTCAGCATGCTCAGGGTGCCCACACAAGTCCCCCACGCAGCCCCTGGACACTCGCCACCCTCCCCCTTTCCCGCGGAGCACCCCACCCTTCTGGCAGTGGCCTTTGTCACTGCAGGCCTCTCCTGGTGCAAACCCAGTCTCTGAACCCTACTCACTCTTTGCCTCGCTGTTCCCTGAAGTGCAGGTTCCGGGCACAACGAAATAGCTGCGAAGGGGGCACCGTGGTCCCCAGAGGGAAGAAGCTTCGGGCCTAGAAGGGAATGGGCGGCGGACTAGAGGCTGGGGGACGTGGAAAGTCACTAGCAGAGAAGGGGAGCAAGCGATGGACCAGCCCCGAGAAACGATTGGCCACAGGAACGTGTGGGCGGTGCTCGGCTCTCTGTTCCCAGATCTCAGAGGCTCTGCTTTGTGTCAATTTCTGCTCCAAGATGCACCACTCTGTCTGGGATGGAGATGCAATTCCACCTCCTTGGACATGCAGCCGGGCAATTTGTTAAATAAATAAATAAATAATCTTTAATACTATGAACAAATAGAGCATTGATAAAACAACAAATCTTTGTAGAAAATAATACACACTATACTAAGAGTTAGATCTATGAGTCCTGTATTAATTTTAGTTAAAAAGTCAAGTTTTGGTTAAAAAAAAAAGTGTGATTACATTCTGTTATATCTTATGTAAGAGAAGGCTAAGAGTGAAGACGTCAGCTCCTGATTCATGCATCCACAGCCACGGAATTGAACCTGCTCTGTGTGACGAGTTAGGAAAACCAGTGAAAAGCCTGGATTTTTAAAAATAAGTTTTGCTGCATTCTTTTTTTCCCCAATTACATTTATTTATTTATTTGTTTGTTTGTTTGTCTGTTTACATGTGGCGTGTGTGTGTGTGTGTGTGTGTGTGTGTGTGTGTGTGTGCGCGCGCGCGCGCTTCTGCTTGGGGGTGGGGGTGGGGGGACATGCAGTGTTGGAGTGCATCATGCCACAGCCTGTGTGTGGAGGTCAAAGGACAGGTTGTGGGAATCAGTTCTTTTCTGCACAGTGGAGTTCCTGGAGAACAAACTCAGGTGGTCAAGCTTGGCAGAAAGTGCCTTTACTCACTGAGCTGTTTCACTTTCCCAAGCCTCTGGATTTTGAATAGGTTGCATCTTTGTTTCATAAGCTAGGGAGTGTATGAGTTAACAGTGGCTGCTACAACAAACTGCCACACAAGGAGGTGAATTAAACAACACACTTTTGGCATCTTGCAGTTCTGTACATCAGAAGCCTGGCACAGGCCCTACTGGACAGAGCTGTCCATGCTTTCTGGAAAATCAAGGGGAGAATTCATTTTCTCCCTACTCCAGCTTCAAGGAATGCCTCAAAGTTTTCTGAATTTCCCTGCTCAGGGCCTTTTCCTGTGTGCAGAGACAGTGGGCTCATCACTCTGCTTGTGTTGGTGCTTCTCAGTTTCCCTGCAGCCTTTGGTTCCTTAGGGGACCAGTGGTTCTATCCAAATGATCTCTCAGTTCAAGGTCAGATATCTAGCAGGCCTAATTCCATCTGCACCATCATTTCTTGGTCCTGTAACATTGCATGGTCATAGGCTCTAGAATGACAGACATGTGGTTTCTATGGGGCCATGTGTCTATCACAAAGGCTATGTTAGTATCTATCTTTTTATCCTGCTCTGTGATACTTGTCTCCATCAGGGTCAACCTAGGACTTTACCAGTCAGTACACATGACAAAGAACATGCAAATGTCTTTTATAACCTTAAAGGGGGACGGGTATTTTCAGACCACTGCCGTGGGTGACTGCATCATACCATCACATTGACCTCACTCTACAGTGAGTAGGACATCCCCCTTGCATTGTGGGTCTCTTCATCACTGGCCGTCAGCTTGCTGGTACCTAACTCAACAACTTATCCTTCCTTGGGGTCTTTGTCACAGCTCCATCCTCTCCCAGCCCCTGTGGGGAGTTTCTTCTGACTGTTACTCTCATGTTCTTTGCCAGCTAGTGCTGGGCCCTGAAGAAAAAGAGGGGTGAGGAAAGCCAGCACCAGGCTCCCAGTGTAGTTCTGACAGCCTCCAGGAATTTGAGACTTTTCTCACATTGTCACGGAGTGTCACAGTTGTAAGCTGAGTGATTGCAGCCTGGTCCTGTTCTACACTGGTTCTAGGTGGCCTCCCTCCCTCACATCTTTTGAAGGTTCACATCTCTCATGCTGTTCACTCCTCTTTTCTCCCCTGGATTGTTCAGCTTCCTCCCTGAGGTAGTTCAGTTCTATAGGCGGACAGCGCAGTGGGTAGATTGTATCAACAGAACACTTGCCTTGCTCTCTTAGCACCACTTATGACCACTTAAAATTCTACTGCTTTTCAGAATTGGAACTCACTGGGACAATGTGTGAGAAAAGTCTTCGTGAATTCCCAGCAGCCCTCAGAAGTAGAGTGGGAGCCTGATGCTGCTCCCCTTCTTTCCTCCAGGGCCCAGCACTACTTTAGCAAAGAGCATGTGAGTGACAGGCAGAAGAAGAGTGGAAGCACGCGAGCTGGGAGAGGAGGGGGCTGTGACAAGGACCTCAGTGGTGGAGGACAGTATCGCCTGTGTTTTCTCCACACTGGGTGAGAAGGATCTCCTTGCACTGGCTCTGTGTTTGTGCATACCCCAACAGGCAGAGAATGGGGTGGGGGAAAGGAGTGGGGGAGCTGCCTGGTGATCTGCAGGCTGGGGAGAAGAAGACATAGTTCAGTCTATTTGCCACACAAGCGGGAGGGGCTGAGTTTGAGCCCCAGAACCAAGTAAAAAGCTGGCTGTGGTGGCATAGGCTTGTAATCCCAGTACTATGGAGGCTGAGACAGGTGAATCCCTGAGGCTTAGTAGACATCCAGCCGGCTTACTTGGTGAGATCTGAGCCAATGAGAGACACTGTCTCAAAACAAAATGAAACAAAACAAAAACAAGCCACAGCAAAAACTCAAAGGCCGACGGCTCCTGAAAAAGAATACCCAAGGTTGGCCTTTGGCCTTCACATATGGCCACGCATCAACACACACACACACACACACACACACACACACACACACACACACACACACACACACACTAGCCCCCAAGTTTGATTGTCTTCTCCATGTCTATCTGTGCAAACCCTTTCTGCTGCCTGCATTTTGGAGTTCATTTGTCCACAGAGGAAACCGGATGGCATGCCTCTGCTCTGAAATGCCATGGCTAACGCCATGCCTAAGTCCATAGTGAGAACAACACAGACTGAAAACGGTCTCTTATCTTCTGTTCCTGTGAGGAGAGAGAGGCCTGCAGACATGCATCCCACTGGCTGTCGACTTTGAGGGGAGGAGGGGTATGGCAAGAGAGCAGTGCAGCCGCCTTGGCAAGCAAGCATCAGCTCAGCTGCAAGGAGCTCTGGTCTCCTGGAAACAACAGATAATCCCCAAACCCCACCTACTTCCACAGCTCCCCTCACACACTCAATTCTGCTCCACAGAAACACCAGAATCCTGCAGCTCTAACCGTGGCAGCTATATAAACTAGTTCCTGACCTTTGGAGGTATTTGGATTTGTAATCACGTCTCTAATGGCTCACTGCATGATGTCCCCTTTGGTGGATAAAGGGTAATCCCAGCAATGTGGCAACTTGAGCTGAGAAAGGGAGACAGGACTGCAAAACACTTGGAAAGTCTCCAAAAGAAAAAGCTAAGGATGAGGCATCTTGTGACTCCCTGGACTTTGAGCACTAGAAGTAGTAGGTGGCAAGGACTCATACCACTATCCTCAATTATGAGAGTAGGGAACATAGTTTTTCTTTTGCATCCCACCTCACACTGGGGATCCAGGGACTATCATGAGACAATATCCTAGGGCAAAGGAGCAGGTGGTATTCAGATGTGTCCCAGGGCACTAGCATTTTGTATTTAGAGCTATTTGTGGAAATGATGCTTAGTGCCATTTGATGAGGAAGTCATTGTACTCTACGAGTTTTGTAGCTTGATTCATTCAGGTAATGCTACTGGGCTGGAGCATGTACTACCTGGGCATTTGGATGAACATTGTTCTGTATGTTTCTATGAGAGTGATGAAAACAAATTGTCCTTCTTAATGACAACCTGAATGGAGGAAAAAGGCTGACCTCCCTGCAACTAAAATATTATTCCTTTACAACTGCCTTCTAACTGGGACATTGGCTTTTTTGTGTGTCTTTCTTCCTTCCTTTCTTTCTTTTTTGAGATAGGGTCTTATGATGTAGACTTGGTGTCTTAGTTAGGGTTTCTATTGCTATGAAGAGACACCATGACCATGGTAACTTGTATAAATGAAAACATTTAATTGGGGCTGGCTTACAGTTTCAGAAATTTAGTTCATTGTCATCAAGGTGGGAAACATGGCAACATGCAGGCAGACATGCTGCTGGGGAAGGAGCTGAGAGTTCGACATCTGGATCCTCAGATATCAGGCAGAGCACTGGCTTGACCTTCAGAAACCTCAGAGCCTATCCCTAATGACAAACTTCCTCTAACAAAACTATACCTACTTCAAAAAGACCACATCTCCTAATAGCGCCATTCTCTGTAGACCAAGTATTCAAACACTTAAGTCTATGGGGGCTTTCCTATTCAAATCATCACATTCTACTTCTTGGCCTCCATATGCTTGTAGTCAAAACATAATGCAGAAATGCATTTCCATCTTCAGTAGTCCAAATAGTACATAACAGTCTCCAACTTGTTTAACAGACCAAAGTTCAACATCTCTTCTATAATCCCTGGCAAAATCAAATGAAAAAGCAGATCATGTACTTCCAACATATAACAACACAGGCAATTACTGTTCCAAAGGGAGGAGATGAGCATAGTGAGGAAATACTGAACTAAAGCAAGAACAAAACCCAGCTGGGCACACTCTAAATTCTGCAGCTCCCTGTCGAACATGAAAGCACTCTTCATTTCTCCAGTTCCTTTCAGCTTTGTTGACTGCAATACACCTCTTTATCTTAAGCTGGTTCCACTCCCTGTTAGTAGCTCTCCTCGGCAGGTATCCCACAGCTCTGGCATCTCCAACATCTTGGGGTCTCCAACACAATCCAGGCTTCACCTTCACAGTTTCACTCAGTGGCCTCTCTAGGTGTCCATGCAGGGTCATCACTGTCACATGCCTGGCCTCAGCAGCTTTCTTTAGTCATGGAGGGAGATTCAATAATCCCTTTCTTGTATCCTTGACTCTGAAGCCAGAACCATGTGGCCAAAGCTGCCAAGTTCTACTGCTTGCTGGGCCTAGAACATGCCCCCCTAGTTCAATTATATCTTCATTAGCTTGCTGGTT